CGCTCTTCAATTGCACATATAGTGGAAGCTGCAAAACAAAGAATCTCGTATAGTGGCCATGTTGGTACTCGAGTTTAATTCGTTATGAGAAGTTTTGAGTTTTATTGTTATTATTATTTAACTTCAAGGAAATTTCTATGGTAGGAACTGCCTTTCTTCACTATAGGTATATATAAGAACTGCTATTTTAACGGCCTGGTTGATTTATGAGTGTGTGCGCTAAAAATTGGCAATACACGATATAAAGCTGCTCCTATTTATAGAACAAACCATTGAGAAGTAAATCCAACGGTGAAAACAGCAGTACCTGAGTAGTGGAAAAAGTACAATTCCTACCGTAGAGGTTTTAATGACATCTAATGCTATTGTATGAGCATTTTGTAATCGAATCGAGACCAACGAATATCCAGGACACAAGGTAATGTGGTGAAGACATTGCATGCATGTGTTTTGGCCCTCATTGGCGCTTCAGCTACGTTCCTTCAACTGAAGCAGCAGTCTCCATTTCAGACAGACTACAAGACCATGGTGGCCTTTCTGATTGCTGTCTGTATCTACGTCGTGACCGGACTAGCGAGCACCAAGTTCAATGGTTTTGCCGAAGAGGTGACCACAAAAGTCAGCCTTTTGTCAGGGCTGCTTTCTCCCCTGTTGCTGTTTCTCATCATGGTTCCGGCTTTGGGGTGGGTCTGCTTGGTTTTGTGGGCGCTTTTGGTTGTCATAATCGCTTATAAAAAGGTATCTAGTCGACATCTTAAACCGTCACAGCAAGACAGTCAGTCTCAGGATCATGTCGCGATTCAGGTAAATTTTCTTACATAAAAAGCATAATTATACTTAACAATAAAACACTTGGAAAAACCCACATACGGCGAAGACTTTTTGTTGCCGTTGGAAAAAGTAGAAGTCCTACTCCTATTAATATAGGAACAGGAAGTGAGATGAAAGTTATAATCCAGAAATATTGATATATATATTCCATAAAAATAAATAAAAAAGTCTTTTTATTTTTATCTTAATTAATTGGTTCTGATTTACCGGCTCTTATTTCTTTTGAAATGAAAGTGAAATGAAAGGGGTCAAGACACATGTTCTTCCTAATCTCTTTGTATCGAACTTGTGTATAGCGGCCCGATCCTCTTTGTTTGTGGGCATGTTTCTCGCTTTCTTATTTCTTGTCTCTTCTAAGTTGTTTGATTACCTAGTTAAGAGCCACTAGTTTGGAACAGAAAAACACTATAGCTTAGCCAATTAGGAATAGCTGGACGAAAATCGAAATAAAGAAGAACTTGACTAAGTAGTCTGAACTGTACTGAACAAATTATTTGTTAAATACCCAAATGTCCATTAACAAAATCGAAATCAACTTTTTTGTAATGTATCATTTTCAAAAGTATATATATGTGTATCCTGTCGTGTAAAATACGAACATATTGCTTCTCTCTCTCTCTAGACTTGTATATATTCTTTTTTACACACACACACACACACACAGATATATATATGTAGATTGTTGTTCTATTTAATAAGGATAAATTTTATACATTTTACGAATTTCACCTGAATTATGTCAGTTTTGTCAATATGCCCTCAAACTTTGAAACATATCGTGCCCCTTCTCTGTATCACTTCTCCAGGTTTAGGTCTTGAAGGCTTGAACTTTGGAAACATATTTTTTTGGATGGAATTGTGAGCTGTCACTTAGTTAAAAGTTAGGTATAATATTGAAGGGTTAATAAATGCCCTTTGCTCCAAATAAATTAGTCTGGTGCTGAACTTCAAATATATTCTCTTCTTGAAGTAGTTGATGAGAAGCAAGAAAATGGGGCGTAACAAGCACGTTTCAAAGTTCAGCGGATATGTTGACACAAATGACATTCTTCAAGGAGATTTCATAAAACATAGTCGTGTTCATTTTCAATAAATATTAATTCCCAGTAATACATCTAATACTTTATTAATTGTTGTCAAGAAGACGTCTCCTGATAGACAAGAGATGGAACGATTGACGATGGAAGAGGAAAACAATGAGGAGCAACCACAAAAGAGGATTTCCATGGGATCACCTGCAACAAAATGGATTAGTGTTTTCGATCCCAGTGATAAGGTTACCAAGCAAAGATATCACTTCAATGTTGAAGACTCGAGGCTGTCCCCGAAGATCGAGAAGGGAAAAGAAGACGGGTTATTTATAAGCAGTGTTGCTTCTTGTTCCAATCTTTGGGCTCTAATCATGGATGACGGTACTGGTTTCTCAGATCAAGTTTATGATGTCTCTCCATTTTTTCTTCATGAAGAATGGATCAAGAAACAATGGGCGAAGGATTTTTATATAACCGCGATAGCTGGAGCCGAGGATGGAAGTTCATTAGTTGTAATGTCGAAAGGGACTAAGTCTTTTTACCAGATATATAAAGTGAATGATTCATTTCCATTTAAGTGGATTAAGGAAAAATGGGAACAGGGATATTTTGTCACTGCCATGGCCACTTCAGGAAGTAGATGGGCAATTGTTGTGTCGAAAGGCGCAGGCTTTTCGGAACAGTTTGTCGAAGTTGATTCTAAGTATCCAAGTGAGCTTATTCGTGAAAGGTGGAAAAGTGGCTGCTTCATCACTGCTGCGGCGGCAACTGTGGACCAGGCTGCTTTTGTTCTTAGTGTGCCGAGGTTAGAACCAGCTAATCATGAACAGGAGACATATAGAACTTCTGGTTTTCCTGCTAAAAAAATTGAGGAGAATTGGGAGAGGAATTATTATGTTACCTCCATTTGCTATGGCCGAACGGATTCGTAAGCAGCCAAAAATTAAGTTTCCCTTTTTGCGAATGTAAGATCTTTTTGAGGAGAATTGGGAGAGGAATTATGTTGTTTTTTCCTTCGTGGATTTGTTAGGATTGAATTATTTTAAAACAAACATTTTATGCAACACCCCTAAGTTTAACAATTTCTTATAGGGAATGTTATCATATGAAACTCCCACTTTGAAATAATAACACGAGTTTTTTCCTTGATATATTTTTCCCCCTAAAAAGAAGCGGTTTTATAAAGTTCATTTACTGGAGCTATAAACGGTTCTTCAGAAAGAGGCAATAAAACCACAATATTTAATAAAAGAATTATCTTTAATGACTGTTGGGATGCCATAGATTCGGCAAGTATGACGTGTCAGGATAGCGTGCGTTACACGTAGTCTCTGGTTGGTTGGTGAAGCATGATATGCCCGGAGGTGTTGCGGATGAGACAATGGCTCCATGACCTTCCTTCGTTGCAAATTGGCAAGAAACATCAAACATCTGCAGAAGTACTCACCACAACATAGCCAGTATTTTATCCTTACTATAATAACAATGATTCGTGGCTTCATCATTTGGCATTAAGCCTTTGTTTATGCGATCTGCGCAGGAACGGAAGAATGGGAGAAAGAACTTAAAGCCAAGGAAGCTGAGCTTGTAAAGAGAAAATTCACTGCTTAATAATCCTACATCTTTTAATGTGGAAAGAAGTTTAGAGTTAAAAAGCCATTTGCCCATCAGTACTTCCTTTACTAACCATTGGTCTTTTTTTCTCCTAATTGTCTTTAACATATCAGATTGTGAAAGTTTTTGAATGTTATTCCCTGCATAAGTTCGCAAACATTGTCCTTTATTTAATTATTAATTCATACTGATTAGAATAATAGTAATCAATTACTAACTATTAGTTATTTAATACATTAATTAAGTAAACTCACTATATTTACGAATATAGTATATATCCTCCTAAAAAATTGTAATACTCTAATTTATTGTTAGTATATTACTATATTATTAATATATATAACTAATATACTTTCTTATTTACAAATAAATTATTAGTAAATGCTTTCTAACAGGTCCTTACTGTGTGTAGGCACTGAGTTATCATGTCAGTCTATCATTATGCAATGCTATAATTGATGTGTCAATTGTAAATTTAACATTTGAATACAAAAAACATTCTCCAATGCAATGCTCTTTATTGTGCCAAATATATAATTTGTGGTAAATTTCCCACCAAGTATAACATATAACAAATTTAGTATTTGATTTCTATTGGTTAAAATGTTTACTTTTTCATATAATCAATGCAAGTTTTGCATTTTCTAACTATATTAAATATGAAAGTTTTTTTTACAACTTTCAAAGCTTAATAATTATGAAAAAAAATAAATTTAGCATCTCAAATAGCATTATGTATTGGAGTAAAAATGAAAATAACGTACCATATCACACTTTTTGATGGTAAATATACAATTGACATTAGCATTTGCATTGGAGATGGTCTTAGTGAGGTCCAGGAGAGAAAAAGCTACATACGTAGGGCCCGTTTAATTCGCTGATTCGAGTTAAGATGTGACTTTATGTGAGAACTTTTTACAGTAGCAAAAAAGTTAGATGTGACTGTTACTGTAGCAAAATTAGAATTCTAAACTCGAATCGGTAAAATAAACGGGGCTGTAATATTGTACATCCCTATGATTTTCCCAAAGAACCCATTGGTTAAAAACTAGAAGGAAATAACATAATAAACAAGAAATTATAGCAGACCCAAAGTGAAGTTATAGCATATAGGCAATTTCTTAAAAATATTTCTAGTAAATAATACATATTAAAATATTATTTAATAGTAAATAGTATAATCACAGTAAATTTACCGTAAATATAAAGTTGCAGACCTATATTTGCAGACAAATGCTATCTGTCACGAAAATATTATTTATTAGTAAAAACTATAATCAGAGTAAATTTACCATAAATATAAAATTGCAGACCTATATTTGCAGACAAATGCTATCTGTCACAAAAATTTGCAAAGTCTCTTCACTGTCACATGTCGTTTGTTTTGGGGGGGTGGTGTGGTGGGGTATGCAAAAATTTCTAGTGAAAAGAGGGGTAAAAGGTCTAATGACATAGTAGAAGAGAGACTAACAAACGCCAATTAACTAAAATTTTAGGACCTGAATGCCAAACTTTTCAAAACAGAAATCCGAGCGTCGGCACAGTGAAAAAGTTAGTGAACCTGTGGCGTAAATTTCTCCCAAAAAAATAAGAGCACGAAGACGGGTCTGATAAATGAATCCTACGTTGCGAGACTCACATTTTATAGGTTGTGATGCTTCACATCATCAATACTTTATAGCATTGTTTTAATGTAAGTAGGCTCTTTTTCATTATTTTTATTTATTTATTTATTTATTTATTTTGCATGGGAAACATGATAGGAGTCAAACATGTCGCTAGATGTTAAATGGTCTTTATCTCTATTTTTTTTAATGTTTTTTTATTTGATATATATACCAAGTTGTCTGTTCTTCACATAGATTATTTTAGGTTGGCAAACGAACAAGAAAAAAAAATAAGACAAGTGACCATGATATTTCTAGTTTAAAAAGTCACTTTCACAACTTTAGCTAAAAAATAAAAAGATCCCTCTTCCACCGCCGCGTCGAGGCCTTCTTGATGGCCGCCGGGCAGAGGTCAAAGCGGTTTGGACAACTCTTCTCTCTCTTTGCTGTCACACACATACATACATGAAAGAAAATGAGAATCTTTCCCACGCGTGAGATTCAAATAGATCTCATTATATGTGAGTAGCGGGAATACATTCCACACGATCTATAGGAGTATTCATATATTTAATTTTCTTACGTTTGCAAAGAAGTGCAAAAACATGATAATAAAGTTTTTCTGACGGTTGCAAAGACAAAAAGACAAAAATCAGAAGCATTTGACAATGATTGGTTTTATAGTTTACTGTCAATCAACTCGTTTCAGCTGCCAGTACAGCCATAAAAGAACAAGAGCCTCTTTTGTTCCATATTCTTTTCCTTCCAAGTACCGTTGACCTTGCGAGCAGTACAGAGGTATTTTCATGGCTTCAGCTTCTTTCTCATTTTCGTTATCTGCTTCTTTAAGTTGTTGATGCTTTTACAAGATTAGTATTTGACCTCCTCCAGTTGTTTGAAGATCTCTTGTTTCTCACTAACTGGTTACTATGTTGGTTACTATATTGGAACTTGGAATTTTTTTTAAAATATAATCTCTACTTGTGTCTAAATTGGCCGTGAATGTTTCTATTGATTTCAATTCTCTTCAAGTTCTACTCCTTTTCTATTGGAACATTTTTTTTAATGATGTTGGAATCAAAATTGGAATTCTTCTAAAATTGTATTAGTCTCACTCTATTCTACCCTGTTTTGGATTTCAAATGATTTTGTGTTTCATTCATACTAGCTAATCACTCAATCACATCATTACTCATTCAATCACATCAATTCAACAAAATAAAAAATAATCAACAAACAAAAAGTACTAAATCTTGATTGGTTCATATCCGCAAATGTCTTTGCGGTTTAGTAATTGGTTTTGCTTAAATCTTGATTTGGGAATTATTGGGGATGCTCTAAGCTTTGATTGATACGTTTTTGGGTCTTCGCTAATTAATTATGAACTTTTTGTTGATGACTCCTAGTAATGTAACTATTTTGAGTATCATACACGTTAATAATTATAGTGAATATCGTTATTTTTTGATATGTCATTCTAATAACCAGAATTTTGCCTATTATAAAAAGAAGGGTTAATACCACAAATGATACTTAAAGTTTACTCTCAATCACACTTTAGTCTTTTACTTTTAAAACGTTCCACAGTTGGTCCCAAAGGTTTCATTTCATTTCAGTTTTAGTACTTATGTTAACTAGGTGTTAAATATTTAACAGAATGAGTAAAAATGGTGGATCAAAAGTGGAAACATGTAAATTTTAGGGACTAAAATAATATAAAAAATAAAAATTAATTTCCATACAGTCCCTAACTTTTAATTGTTTCGAATTTGGATCCCTAATTTGTGGGATTAACCCAAAGAATTATTGCACTGATACAGCTACTATAAGTTCACGATCTCTCTCTCTTTCTGATGTAACAGTGAGATTTGGGTGGTGATATTCCTCTGTGGCGACAATTACTCTTCCATTATAAACAAAGTGAGCCGTAAAACAAAGAATCTCAGTTGATGGCAATGTTGGTATTAGTATTTAATTTGTTAAGAAAACTTATGATTTTTTTTTCAGTTAATTTATTTAACTTCTAACGCCTCTTGTATTGAATTAGTCATCATTTTATAATCCTGCAGAGATCTTACACAACCTGCTGTGGTAATACCATTGCACGCTGTTATTTTGTCCCTCATCGGGTCTTTACCGGCGGTCATTGCGCTGAAGCAAGAAAATCCATTCAAGACAGACTACGTCACCATGGTGGTCTTTCTGTTTGATGTTTGTATCTATGCGACGACCATACCACTGAGCATCAAGCTTGAGGGTTTCGCGCAAAATGTTGCCATTTGTATCAGCCTCTTGTCCGGGTATCTTGCTTCTTTTTTGCTGATTCTCATCATGGTTCCGGCTGTGGGGTGGGTCTTTTTGGCTTTGTTGGTTCTTGTAGCTTTATTTATCGCTTATAAATTGCTACATAGCCTATGGCATCCTGAATCGCCGCAACAAAACAATCTATCTACGGATCATATCGGCATTCAGGTAAAATCTGCTTACATATGTTTTTCTGATGTAGCAGATGCTTAATTAGAGAAAAGCAAAACAATAAAATAAAAGGGTAAATCAGTTAACCAATTGATTCACATAGAATACAAAGGGAATCTGCTTTAAAAACGGTACGTTGATATATCAAAAATTGGAAGAAGTAGAGAAAAAACTGGAAATTTCATTCAACTCAATTGATTTTCATTACAAGAGGGCATCTAGATATATAGGTAATAATAGAAACTGAAAACTAGCATATTCTATAATAAAAAATAATAAAATATGAAATTTTTTAAAAAGAAAATATTTTAAACCGGAAACAAGAATTGACACTACCATAAGGAAATAAAAAACACAGTCGGAGCTAGAATCCGAATTTTCTAGGTAAAAGTGGAAATTTCTAAAAATGGTAAAAACACACTTTTAAGGGCCTAAATGAAAGAATTTATCAGAAAAACGTTGAACGTCGTGACGAAGTAACAAGTTTTGTCCGTTGGGCCGTTTCCACTCAAAAAACACGTA